AGAGAGAGAGAGAGAGAGAAAAAGAAAACCGCTCGTTTTGGATGCGCGCCAAGTGAACCGGTCAAGTTCCAAACGTTTCGTTACGTTATTATACACAAGTATAAGAGCATTCTTTTTTTTCTTTTTTCGATTTTAAACAACGTTCGGATTTTTTGAACTTCCGCATGACAGGTTTGTTTCGGATTTTTTAGATCTGCACATTATTTCGTAGACTGTTTATACACAATATTGAATCCGTTTTATTTTAATTTGACTTTCGTACATCTGAAAACTATAGTGTATACGGTCGATAACGGTCTGCATTGGGTTTCTTTAACTGTTTTGATCTATTGCAGAGTTTGACGGCACTCCGTGTAACCGTAAATTCAATTGTTGGTACATGTGTTCTAGTTGTTAACAAGACTTTTAAATATTTACACTTACTGCAACATTTTTTTTTTCGTTGGTCGGATATGATCCGGAAGACTTACAGCCAAAAGCCTTAACAATTATGCATACCTTGTATGTATCGAAACATGTTTGTATTAATGTTGCGCGGTAAAAACAACGTACATAACATTTTCTTATTTTGCAAATATTGTAAATACCTAAGCATTTATTTTTTCGGTTCAATTTATCAGCCCGAGTAATATATTTTGAACAGTATACAACCGTTTATCTTTGGCTAATTCACCGGACTACAGTGATTAACGTTACAAACCGTTATCGATCGTAGTAGAGTTTAAAGAAATGTAGCCGTGCGACCGAGCACGTAACCTATTTTAAGAAAATGTGTTTTATTAAGTTCATAAATGTACGATATTTATCAGCAATGAGTGCCTCTACACCCATTGTTTTTGAAGTAAACGTAGTATCGACCGAGTGACGTTGTGAAGTGGTTGTTTTCATTATTTGACCTCTTCGGGGCACCATCATTAAGCTACCGTAAAAGCACACTTTTTAAGAAAAACGTGCCTTTCGACATTTGCCTTCGATTCGGTTCTGATACATTATAAAACGTTGGTACGGGTCGCAGAATTATTATTATTGATTTTAATCGTCTTGTACCTACACACTAACGCGCGCGCACGCATTCGCTGGAAAACTGTTGAGTGTAATATCGTGTCGGTAATCGAATCGGTTAGCGAAAAACGTGTCTGAACGTCGTCTAGGAATCATTCCGTCCACGTGACGAATACAATTTTGAAGATCGCGTTTCACAAACCGGGTCTTTCCGGTTGGCCGGGATATTTACGCGCTATCAATACGTAAATATTGGCAACGCTTGTACGTAGTATGATGTACGGATTCCAAATAGATCTGTTTGCAATCGAATAATTATCTCGAACGAACCGCAAATCGATCCGTGCTAGCGTTCGCATCGAGGGGACGAGATGCATCACTGGTGGCGCGGGCAAATGTTTGAAAATTATTATTTTTTTCCCCGCTATCGTTTGTCGCCGAGACGCGGTTTTCATATAAAACGTATTACGTTTTATTATTGTTTTCGTGTTCATACGCACATACGTAAACGGACGTCGGGCGTTCCGCGCGGAAACCGACTGGTGATCGGTTGACGGCGACGGGTAGCGGTAGATAACGGTCACCGGGGTACCATGGTATCAGTACCGGTTACCATCGACGGCGTCAGCTGCGGCCAGGAGGCTGACAACAACGGCAATCGCGATGCGAAGAAATGGCGCGGAGCGAAACGAATCGCCGAAATAATATTTGATATCGCGTTACGAGCGCGCTGGAGGAGAACACTGAAAATTCCCTTGACAGATAGGGTTAAAAATGAACAAGTATTCCGAAAGATGAACGAACGAAAAGTAATATGGTAAACAATCGGGGAAAGGAGGAATAAATGTATTGGACATATTATAAGAAACAATAAGTGGATAACAACAATAACAGGAGAAAAGATAGACGGAAAAACCGGAAGAGGTAGACCAAGAACACCATTCACGAAACAAATTGTAGAAGATATTGGAAAATCTAATTACAAAGAATTTAAAATAGCAGTTATGGATAGAGACCAATGGAGATCCATCGAAGTCATTGAACCAATCTAAGGATTGAAAAAAAAAAAAAAACGTGTTACGAGCGATGTTAAAAAAAAAAAAAAAAAATGGGAAATCGCACGGGCCCGCGGAAGTGACGTCGCCTCGTTCAGCGGTTGTACATTTTTTCAGTTCGCGCATTTATTCCGCGCGCGCGCGCGTTTAATGTACACGTATATATTACGGGACGTAATAATACGTTCATATTTATTGCGCGCAACACGCGAGAGGTTAAAAATAATATTTTAAAGTCTAGCGGCGGCTCGCCGGTATTACTTGGCGACCGGAGGGCGCGGCGGGGTGTTTTCGGCGGACGAAAAAAAGGTAGAAAATCTATAAAAAATATTACACCGTCGGAATAATGCACCGCGTGCGATCTCTAGCCCCGTTGTCATCGTCTTCGGTTTACACGGGACGATATCCGAAGCGTCCTCGACGTTTTTCGCGTTTAAATCGTTTCTCCGCGAAACACAACAAATTTCGTACCTCTCCGGACGAGGATCCCGTTCACGGACTTTCGCTGTTATTTTTTCCACCGCCGTTTTACTACAGCAGACGATTACGGTCGGTCGATTCCGTTCGGATTTCGAACTGCCGGCGAAAGGCGTGGAACACGGTCAGATCAATCGGTCGTTTCCTCTTGCCGTAGCGCAGCAATGTTTGTGCCACGAGCACGAAACCGGGGAGTACAGTCCGTTACGTGCGCGCACGTGCTCTTCGCGGATCAAAATGTTCAGACCAATCCCTGGGTTTAGGCGCGCGAAAAAGGGAAACGAAAAAAATCGCCTTGTAGCGCGGCGCGGAACACGGCACGTAACGCAGACCACGGAGTACCGCGAGGGCCGCCGAGCGGCCGAGGGCACGAGAGCAATTTAAATAATAACCAACAAGGCTGCAGTGAATACATTTGTAATATTTCCCGAGCGCTAGAAGCATGTCAACGTAACATTTTGTCGTCGTCTCAACGTTTGTCGTACATTTTATAGGCATATAATAATATTATTATTACATTATAACTGCAGACTAACCGTAAAGCGGGAGGAATTCTTCACGTTCCGGTTTGTTTTTGTTTTTTTTTTTTCTTGCGTAATAATTACGCAGCATATTTACGGTTCGTGTCGGATCAACATAACTTTTTTTTTTCCTGTTCAAGTTTCCCCTTAACGGTACGATATTAAAATATCGCGTAAACGTTGCGGGAGACTATATCCCCGTACAACTTTTACGTTTTCAACTACTCCGTCATTATGGTAATATTTCTGGGCTAGTTTTCGTATTGCAACAATAATGCGGCGCCACGGAGGGTTCAAATATTTTCCGATCTCGTCGGGAAATCGTACGAAACGCGAACGCGATGACGACTTGTCGCTAGTCTCCGTGAGTTTCGTATTGTACGTCGAGCGTTCGCCGTCGCCGCAGGTTACCCGAAAACGATACGGTTCGAACAGAAAAGTTTGGTTATCCAATGCGAGTGGTTGGGTTTCTAAGACCATCTCCGTCGCGTTACCTTTTCGTTTATAACATCGAAAAACATTTCGACGCCAATGATTTGTTGTAGGCCGGGTGTGCGGAGGACCTACGGGCGATTATTACTCAACTGAATAGTTTCTACACTGTCTTTGTCCGAAGAAATCGTAATGCGGTTCAAAAACTTTTTCGCCAAAATGTCACTATCGTATAACATTATGTTGAAGAATTCAATCGCATTTTCGCGGAACAATTTATTTTTCCAATCTCGTTGTGTTTCTGTATAAGAAAAAATAAGGAAAAGAAATGCATATAAATAAAAAATAAGAAACCGTCTGCCATTTCGGTCTCCCAAAAACGACGATCGTTAAAAATGAAAGTTTCCGACAGTTTTTTGCCGTTGCTTACCGATTAGAAAGCGCTGTATCAGGAGGGAACATTTACTTTTTGGTTTCTCGGGTCCTAGATGAAAATCTGCCACGCCCGAAAAAACGTTTGTTTCGTTGAATACCACTGGTATGATTCGCGTTGTCCGTTGTACACATGTGTACAATACGGTGTAGTGATCCCTGTGCAGGACACCGCGATTTTTACCGCATTTATTATGACGTTCCTGGTCGGCTCGAGGTGATCTGTGAGAAGATAGAAAATCAATAAGCAGAACACTAGTACTTATATATAATTAACCAAATATACTAGTATAAATACTATGTCATTCATAGTATTTGTTAGCTAGGTTAGGTTCTTTTCAATTGTCTAGAGTTTTTAGCAAGTAGCTAACTGATAATTTAGTGCTTCTTTATATGTTTGTAACTTTTGCTAAAGAGTAAAATTCATTAGTTTATTTCTTAAACAAAACTTAAATATTATTACATACATTGTCTGAGCACTAAAACTAAATATATAGTGGCATCAATGAGAAACAATCTACTGGCTGGTTATAAATAAAATAGTGTTGCAATGAACAAAAGGTAGAGCCTATATTTAATACGACGAAATATTTACAACTACAATCAAACTTGAAATCATATAATACTCAACTTACAAGACGTATGCATTTTTGCACCAGTTAAATAAATAAATAAAATAAATCGAACATGAAAGTCGTAAACAGATAATTATTTTAATTACAGAAATAAACTAATACACTAATTAGTTCAATATTTGTAAATAAAATGGCGATGAAATATTTCGGAGAATATAAATAATTGTCAACATAGGTTAACCAACTTTGAATTGTTCATAACTTCATCGCTACAAGATTTGAAGACAATAACGAGGTCAACATAAAAAAAAAAAAAAAGCACAAACGTTATTTTTAGAATAATAACATTTGCATTTACATCCGTTTTCGTTAATTTATATCATTTATTCATTTATTTATTTCCATTCTTTCCTTTGTAACGTTATCAATAACGTTTAGAACCCTGGTGTTTTTTTTTTTTTTTTTAATTTATCATCGCACTAAAACCTTTTTTCGATTTGTTACAGGATTGGTTCACGCGGCAACAGTTGGTTCTGGTGATATTGGTCGTCAACATATCGTTGGCGCTGATGTTTTTCAAGCTCTTGACGTCTTAAAAAGCGGTTCGCCAAATGGATGGCTCCTGCACCCCCACGTACACACATGCATACACACGGAACATAACAGTCGCGATCGCGCGACACAGCGATCTGCATCCAGCCGCAATCGACAATACTATATTATTAACGATAATATAAAACATAGTGTAATAATCATATATAATAATAATCAAACAATACTGTTTTCGACCACGCGCTCGATCCTAACAGTGGTTGATTACAATCTTGTCGCACGTCGATGTCGCATCGTCATCGAATATTATCATTGCTATTAAACACACATGTTATTATATCATTGTTATTGGATATCCATAATTTTATCTTTATATTATATTATTATTATTATTATTATTATTATGATTATTATAATTATTATTACGACCATCGAGTTCCGGACGAAACGCGGACCACCGCAGCCGAACTGCGCGTAGGTGCGCGTCCTCGTCCGGAAAACGTTCCAACACGTTTTGTTTTCGTTTCAATCGTATTGTTTTTGTTTTTTTTTTTTTTTTTTTCTCCCACAAATTGTATCATAATAATGGTGATAATAGTGTTTATCGTATTTGTTGTACGTCGATATATCATTATTTCTCATTTTTAAATCGATCGGTCTCGCCGTGAATGTTATTATAGCGAAACGCAATTCAAGACGATCGATGAATTCGACGACGACAAATCTTAGAGACTCCGGTCATCACGATATTATTGGCTTGTCCGTTTGATGATTAGCGAATAGTGCATTATTATTATTATTTAATTTTTTTCTTTACTTTTATCCTCTAGATGGATTAGATTTTATTCGTTCGAGTTTTTTTCTTCTCCTGTTTTTCTTTTCTTCCGCCGCATAACACATTACCACCTATACACCTACATACGTTATTACAGCGCACACAAGACGATCTGTTAGCTGATTACTAAAATAATATTACTATCGTTTTCGTTATATATATATATATATCAATTAATCAATTATTATTATTGTTAATATTATTTTGTCGTTACGCTCGTACGGAGTACCAACGAACTCGACGGTACGATTGCAACGATTATCCGCACGGTATGCGCATCGCGTTGCACGAGTCGGTCACAGTCGCTGAGGATTTCGGTACACACCACGTATACATTACCAGTGGCATATATAGGTTTTTATTTCGGAGGGGGCCGATTATGTATTTGATTTTTGTGGGGAAGGGAAGGAGGGGAAGCACACTGTTACGACAAAAATTATTTTAACACTATAAAACTTCTCGAATGTCTTTACACCACCAGAGAAATGAGAAACTCAATTTTTTCAATGATTTATAATTTTTTAAAATCATAAAAACTACATAGTTACAAACAATTTTTTTATTAGAGTCACTCGAAATTCACCATGTATTTTCTTAAAAAAGTAAACATATTTTATAAATATAAAATATTAAATTATCGCATAAGCAACGTTCTCAGTGTCGCGACAAATTTTCGGAAACCCCCAGCATTAAAACGTATCCATGTTAAATATAACAATCTTTAACAACGGCATTTTTCGTCTCGGATGAGGCCCTTTGCCCTCCCTCCCACCATCAATACGCCCTTGTTATATAAACTCGCCCCCGTCCGCTGGCCGAAATGACGGTACACCCTCTCGCAGTTCCGACCGAAAAAAAAAAATTATTTTACACTACATTTTTCATCGTTACGTACACAATATTGTACGTATTATGATATAATATGTATTTCTTTGTTGTACTTCGCGAGACGTGCCGAGTTAATAGGAAAACAGTAAGCGGAAAAAATTAATAGTAATAATGATTTTCAACTGTGTAGTCGAATTGCTGTTCGAAAGACAAAAATATTGTATAACTTTATCATCGTGCGCGCACGTGGAACTATCATAAAACGCGTACCCGACGTCGGGACGACGAATCGAACGTTGTATTTTTATTATTATTATTATTGTTATCGTTTCACAGAATTAAATTATTATACGCATTATATTGGTAATTGTAATATTTTCAACCCCGCCGGTGTGTGGCGATCGGTATTTAATAACTCCGTGTAACCGTTATTATATATAAAAAAAAAAAAAAAATCGATAAATAGTAAATCATTATACATTTTTCGCTTGCGCATTGTTGTATAAATTGTTGGTTGTTCGTTATTTCACGTCGATCTCGTCGACATCTTATAAAATATCATTTTCGTCGCACGCGCTACGCTGCGATATGCGTTCAGTGGCGCGATGAGATGATGTCAAAAGTGCTCGCTCCCCTTGCCTTCCTTAGGATGTGGAACGCGCACGCGTTGGTGGTCGTCGATCCCAAATATGCATTGTGTTTTACTCGAACAGACCCCCCCCACCGTGTTCTATCTTCTTAGATCGGACTAATAAGATATTCCTTAAAGTGTAGGTCATAGGTCATTGCGTACTTCCAAATCCCTCGACGTGTCTACTCGACGTTCTCTCATCAGCGAGCCCACGTACATAAATCCCACATACGATGTGACTACAAGAAGTACATACGAACGCATTGTCATACAACGGTGTTGTCGTTAAGAGTACGCCACACCCATGCGGGTGTTGTTTCGGTCCGACAAACGTACGGCATAGCGAATTCGCGTTAAACAGTTCATACGTAGTGATGTCAGCTTTAATATCGGAATAAATAGACTTAACAAGTCATGAAAAGACTTAATAAGACCATAATGTAATCAAAATTCAAGGGAAGAACATTGCCTGTGTCCTGTTGGTCGGTTTTTTCCGATATTATAATTTTCAAACGAGCCACGAGCAAGTAAAATATTACAATTAAAAAAAAAAAAAAACTCATAACTCACCTAAAAATAAAAATATCGGAAAAATCTGACTAACAAACGCAGACCGTGTTTTTACCACTAAATTTTTTTTACAGGTCGGCTTGCTCCAATGTTAAAACTAAAAACCATTACATTTTAAAAATTGTGGGCCAACATTGTCGTGATGTTAAAACAATTAATGGTCTGTATGCGTCCTGGCGTGTGCTGCCAACGAATTCATTATTCGAAACGTAACGTATTTAACGTACGACCATATCACCTGTGAAACGACTATTACCCAATGTCATTACGTACGGTCACCGTCGCGTCCCCCGGGGAATGGTCTCGGGACTCCCGCAGCAGTCCCTCGATCGTTATATTATAATAATACCTTTTTTTTTTTCTTCATAATTATTTCATAATTTATTTATTAATTATATGGTTCAGTTATCTCACACTTTTTATTTATTTATTTTTTATTGAAATTATTGACAAGAGTAATAAATTAAACTAATGGAAATATTTGATACACGCACGAACGACGTCGCACATCGTTTATGATTGGGGACGATGACCTCAGTGGCTATCACATTGTTGGGACAAAATATTTTTATTTTTTTTTTATCTTTTCACTCGCTCTCGCCTCAAAAAACGTCATAACCAATTTCGTTGATAGAAGGTTTCGAAAAATTATGTATCACAATTATTAATTACGTCGCATCGTTCAACATATCATACCGGCGCAATCGTTGCACGTTTATTTGTATCGGTAAACGTCGGTTTTTAGAGAAAAATTAAAATTGAAATCAAAAACGTTCAAGGGAACGAATAAAAAATAAAAAAAAAAAACGTCTGTTCGCACACAATGTGTAATTAATAAAATATGTTCCCAACCGTCGGAGGAGGATCCGTTATCTCTCCGTCACCAGTCATCGACGCTGCTCGATGTTTTCATTGTTATTTGTTCGCATTCGAGGACCACGATAGGTATCTTTGCAATCCGAAATCCAATTCCGAACGGAAACCCGGAGTTGTTCAAGATTTCGTGAATAGGGTGTGCGCACCACAAGTGTTCCTTTGCTGGGTCTTCGCAGTTCTTCTAACCTATTGGGAAATTCAAAAGATGACCTCTTTATAACACCATTTGTATTCAATATCCAATATCGATATGTATATGTGGGTATAGAAGTGCTATTCGCGAAATTCTCGTAGCAGGTACTTGGGTTCTTTTTGTTAAAAAGCATATCGTTCCACGGGAAATTGAATAAAAAATAATAATAATAATAATAATAATAAAAAAAAAAAAACAAACGCGCGTTTCACACGTCGTGCGAAATCCGAAAAACGGTAAAAGAATAAATAAATAAATAATGTACAGCGTCGAACGTCCCGATGCGTTGCACGACGACCGCGGCCCTTATTGTTTCCGCGGCGAAATCATACTACCCGTGGTAGTATGCCCGTGGTAGCTCGGCGATTAATGAACTAACCGGGTTAAGTACCGGAATGAATACCACGTTAAGGGAAGAGCGACAGCGACGAAAAACCGAAAGATAAAACGAGAAAACCAAAAAAATAAAGAGTAAAAAAGAACAAAAAAATCATTTTGCACGGACACGAGAAATCGTGAAGTCATCGCATCGGCAATGCATGTTATTTAGTACATTTTTAGTTTTGTACTGTTTAAGCGAAGGTACTATTTTAGAGCAGCAATTGATCCTTAATGGTTATGCTAGGTTGGCTGCCATAAAATACTTAGCCACCTAGGTGACTTGGTCTAGTATAGAAAATAGAAATATACTACTTACACAACTGTTTATCTTATGCATGCAACTTACGTCCTAGACCCGACTGTATAAACCATGTTGATTCAATATTCTTAATTACAGATATTAGACTTATAAAATTAATTAATAAAAAAAAACTAAATACTTAAATAAATAAATAAAAAATATACTTTAGTTAGGAATAATAATGAAAATAATTACAATATATTAAATACATTTATACCATTAATTTGGTAAATATGTATGAAATTTAAAAAATATTGAAATGTTGTAAATCACAATTCAAAAAATAAGAGCACAATTTAGTTATTAATAAAAACGTTTTGATTAATAAATACGATTTATGATATTTACTTTTTATAAAAATAATTCACAATAATTTGTTTTCCATATGTTCAGGAATCATATTTATCTTTTTATCGCTTAATATTTGTTTATGTACAATAAATGATTTCTTCAAATTTATTGATTTCTAGAGCATGCATATCATACTGGCCACAGAGCAAATTGTGATATTTTCTGAAAGCATATTTCTTGAAATAATGCGGATTCGTTCTAATATTCGAATTCTCTAAATTTTGTGATACAATTGAGATATTGTAGTCTTTAAAGTAGAACCTATGTGACCTTGTATATTTGATGGTTCTGAAATCGTATTTTTAATAATATTTAATGATGTCAATTTAGAATACACTGGCTGACGAGTCATTATCTAGTTTTTCTATTACAGTTTTGATACCTACATAGTTATTTACATTAAATATAATTGCTTCCTTTCTAAGTGCCCAATCTCGTAACTACTGGTTCAGGTGGCAACGAAAACCATGTATTATTTTTTTATATAGTAATGTAGTAGTATCAGAAAGTGACTTTAAAAAATATTTCTTTACATTGTTAAATCAATTGGTTTACACCAGGGA